TAGGTGCCTGTGTGATGACGCCCAAAATCCCAGAAAAATGGAGAAGAGGGCATTGCGTGGTGGCCATTCCCCCTGGGAAGGGGGATTTCTCACTTTTCCTCTCACTCTTTGTCTCTCCTCTCTGGTGAATGCACATGCCTTATGACAAAAACCTTAATTAAGAGACCAGCAGTTAGCGTAATGGCTGTCACTGAACTCCCATGTAGTCGACCCCGGTTTGAGTCCCGGACCAGAGGATTAAACTCACGCTGGGCACGTGTGCGTGCATGCCCAAGATCATGAGAGGAGAATGGAGAAGAAGGGATTGCGGCGTGGCCATCCCCCCTGGGGGGTGATTTCTCACTTTCTGTCTCTCTGTCTCTCTGTCTTTCTGGTGAGCCCACACACCCTATAGCAAAAACCTCTCCCCCCCTAAAAAAAAGGTAAAAATACAAAAACAAAAACAAAACCTTAATTAAAAATAAATAAAAAACTACATTGTACCTTACAAGCTAATTAGTACAAAATAAAAGAATAAAGTATTGAGTGGGAGGAGAACAACGACAAGGAGGGTTTAGAGTAAGGTATAGTGGGGGGTATTCTCTGAAATGGGACAGCTGAGCACAGCCCCGATGAAGTGAGAGTGGTGACAAACTGCAGGTGTGTGTTGCAGGCAGAGAGAAGAGCCAGGGCAAAGGGCCTGAGGCGCTGTTTGCCAGGCGGCAATGCCAGTGTCGCTAGACTGGGGGCTGCCGTGAGCTGATCACAGAAGTTATTCGTTTTAATCAGGCCCTTTAGACCACTCTGCAGATCTCATTTTTACTCCAAGAGGGATGAGAGCACCCTGGAAGATCAATAAGTGAGAAAAACAACTTCTGCTGCTGTTAACTGATGAAGAAAACAAGAGAGGACAATGTAATAGGTAAGACTGGGGGGCTAGGGTGGTCCAAGAGAGCCTTCCCTAGGAGAAGGAGCCAGGAATTCGAAGGCTGGGGTAAGGGAGGAGAGGCCAGCCTGGAGAAAGGAAACCTAAAGTGGAGTGCCAGGTCAGCGAAGGCCTGGGGAGAAGCCTCAGCCAGCCAGGGAAGAAGGGGGCGGGGGTG